AAACAAAATTAAAAGCRTTGGGCCTCRTGCAAGAACCGTTCGTACGCACAGATTTGTTCTTAAGTTGTGCGTACGAGTGATTTAGGAGAATTTGTGGCATTCACCAAAGTTTTCGTATTCTAAGATGTTTTTCAGATACGAACAAAATTCATGTGTGGTCCAGACCTGTCGTATATTTTACTGGCAGTCAGTCTGCTGTTGTCCAGACAGGTTTTCCTCCCTAATAACTTTATATTTCGTTAGTTTGAATATATTTTGAGTTGAAAATAAATTACACTCCATAATTATGTTGACAATAGGCTATTCTGCTTGAATTAGAGTTATAAATTTAAATGTAATAATTTAGACTAACAATATAAATTGTCCGTCCGGCCGGCTTATCCGCTATCGGGTGCGGGGGCAGCAGCAGAAAGASCCCGCTCTCCCCAGCGACACCTTCCAGCTCGTTCTGGGGGACACCGAGACGTTCCCAGGCCAGAGGGGATACATAATCCCTCCAGTGAGTCTTGGGTTTTCTCCAAAGTGCCAGACTTAATTTGAAAACATTTTAAAATGCTTATTTCAAACCCGCGTCTGAGACCACCTGCGACTGCGCGGTGCACATGGGGGAGGGGGGGGGGGTTTACGGTGCGCAGCGCTGTGGCTTCTGAATAAATGAAAATGATTTAACACAGTTGTTTATACTTTTAGCAGCTCTTTTTATTCCACAGCTGACCTGCTAAAAATGACAGATTTTCTTTTCTGGATCTCTGACAGACGGACTTCAATCTCTGAACTCGTAAAGTTCTTCTTTTTAATTTTCGCTGTCATTTTCATGAATGGACACTTCCTTGTATCTGAGGCAGGAAACATAGCCTTATATGGTGTTATTGGGGTGGTAATCATGCTAATCTCCTCTCGCGTGCACGAGCAGCTGGATACGAACAGGTGGAATTTACGCAGCTCATTTACACACTTTTCCTGAAGATAGAAGAGTTTGTTGAATCTGACGTGACATGTTCGTACGAACCCTTTGTACGAACAAAAGTAAGAGAAATTTAGGATAAGAACACAAACATGTTCTTGCATGAGGCCCATTCTTTGTAGGAATGCTTATCACCCAACAACTTTCAGTCTAGAGTTTTAGAATGAGCTTAAGTTGAGAAATGATGTCATTGTAGCCACTTTGTTCAAGACAACAAAAAGAAAAAAATGTTAGGAGCGATAATTAATATTTTTATTTACTTTGTACTTCTGTCACTTGACAATACAGTTTCACAAGCTGCAACAATCTTGGAAGAAAAACCCAAATAAAAGAAAAAGGCATGGAATCCCCCCACCCCCACCCCCACCATTTACGTATCAGCTTCCAGTTCTCCGAAACCCTGGAGTGAAAGGATTCCTCTGGGGAGCGCAGCTGTTATTAAACAATGGAGTGTTTCATCACCAGTGAAGACACTGACATGGCAGAGACAAGTGGAGGGATGTTGATCTGGGTGTGCACGCTGAGATGGAACAAAATGAGGCGTGTCCAGATTTACTCTCAGAATATTTCTCTTGTAATCCGGCTGCTAAGAAATATTAAGTCAGATTTAGATTCCTAAACATTAAACTACAATAAAGCAACTTAATACAGTATTATTGTAATATAGTATTATAGTACAGAAGATGTAGACAGAAATACACAGCAGTTGCTGAAAAGTATTAAGAATGTTTCTTTTTACTACTAAAACAAACAGAGTAGTTGAGAGTAAAGTACAAGAACTCATATTATCCAGACMATCACTTTAGAAGTTGAAATGTTTGTGTGGACTGGAAGCTTTATGGTCAGAGCTGCAGTTTTGTAATCCTGAGGCTGCAGGTTTGAGCCCAAGTTGGGTCAGAAAAGACATCTGGTGTAAAACAATCGCCAAATTTCTCATGCAATTTCACTCGCTTGTGGCGACCCCTGAAGAAAGAAACTTCTGAGCAAAAACAACAGTGTTTATTTCGACTGTTGTTGATTCTGTATAACAGTTTCAATGACTTTAATAATAACATAAGAGTTTTGCATGAAGATATATAAATTTGAGTCTATTGTGGTAAGATTAGGAGGAAAAAAAACTGTTTTAGCCTTTGTGCTTTTCCTCCTTTGTACTTCTGGTAAAAAAAAAGATAAAATAAAAAAAATACTCACTGCTTTTAATATGACTTTAAAAAGGACTGGATGTTGCTGGTTTACATGTAACAGTGTGAATTGTAATGTGTTTAACTTTTAATGGGTTGAAGAGTTAAAAAGCAGATTAAAATAGAAACCATCAAGTACAAAACAAAATAAAATCCTACATTTTGATTGTAATGCAGTATCCAAGTAAACACGCAGAAACATCCCACCTCTGCTGCAGGAAGGGAAGAACACAAAATGAACACATAAACAGAAGGAAGGCACATGAGGGAGGGTTTCCTTCTGTCAGAGTCCTCTTCCACTGCACATGTGGCCAAGACTTTATTTATTTATTTATTTATTTATTGATTGATTGATTTATTATTTCATATATTATCCATGAAAGACGAACTCAAAGTACAACCAAACCGGAGCACATCGCATCAGAAACATAACATTTAACATCTATTTTCACCCGCTTACTAAGGTGAACAAAAATGATCTATAAAAATGAAATTTCATATATTTACGGAAAGCGTCAAACAAGAATTGGCATGCTTTAAGCTGCCAGTCAAATATTTTCCATTGAATCAAAACAGCTTTTACTCTGCATAGCAGTGTGGGCCACACCTCTATTTGCTGATCACATCTGATGCAATGTTGTTCATTACCAAGCATGTTTTAACAGCAAATCTGTCCTCCGGCACAAAGGAGGAATAAAACGCAGCTGCAGAAGACATCAGAGATGATGAGTGCTGCCTTGAACATCTTAGTGTCTGTTGAGCTTTTTCATACGCTCGGTGGAGATCCTGTCTGCTGCAAACCTATTCCCAACCTCAAAGCAAATTCCCTTTCACAGTTGTAACTAACGAAAAGATCAATTTGAAACAAAATAAATGGATTCTATTTCATTAATCAATCTATAAAAAAAGATCACTTTTAACTTTGATAAGTTGTGGTGTTCTATGTTTTATCCACCAGCAGGTGGCAGTATCGTCACAGAATTACAGTGCCTGAGGATTTCCTGCACTTTACCAGACAATCTAAGTACTGTAATGACATGTTTTGTTACAGCATCCAACACTGGCATCAGAMTGACTCATAACAATAAAATTATAGTCATAATTGCCACATGAAGACAGTCTACACGCCGTCAGTCCCTGTCCCTTTCTGCATTCATTCCCTGCTGCGAACATTCACCTCAATGATGATTTGTTCACAGAGAATAACAATAACCCCCTCTTTATTACATTAAACAAACCTCTGCTGGCCTGCATGGTGCTAAAACAATAAAGGGAGTTTACGTAAGTTTGTGTTTTTGTCAGCTCGGTTCAAATAAAGGGTTGAATTCAAACAGATAAAGTTGCAACTGAAAGCAAAACTGACATGTTTCAGAACATGGCAAGGTCAWATAATCCAATTTGTTTATGCTCGCATGTTTACACTGTGATTCAATCATAGTGAAAGGAAGGCTTTTACACAAACACAGGCCTCACATTACCAACATTATTTTTATTGTGTTTTTTAAAGCGTGTTAAATTAGCTGCAGTTCCTCCTTGAAACATTTGTCTGTGTAAACAACTAGAACCTGGAGCTGAGTTTTAAATAAACTTGGTACTGATTAACACCATGGAAGAAGTCATACAATTTATTTTAACCACACAATTTTGTAAAAAAAACACCTCTTGTGTTTCAGATCGGCCAGGTTTGTTGCTTGAGAGTGGGGTGAAACTGTGCCAGGGGACGATTTTAGCCGATCTTTTAGAGCTAAACCTGGATTAGCACATCCCTCGTGGTGACCTCAAAAATTGTGAATTCATCTCCTAATCTGATCCCAATGCCAAGATCAGACAATGACCTGCAGGAAGGGAGGGGCGTCGGCACACTGTGTGCTGATACCATGTTTAACATCGAATGATTTAGGAAACCCCTGCTGCTGCTGCTCATTTTGAGTGCATGACTAACGGCATGAAGCAGGAACATTATGATCTAATGAAGCAGATTATAAAATAAAAAATGCCACATTTATTACGTGGAGCAAAGGATTACCCAAAACATATTTTACTTTAAAAATATACTAGTTTTTATTTGAAAATTTTGAACAAGTTATTCAATTTTCAGCTTCCTAATATTTAACAGTTTAATGCTTCACTTAGTAAAAGGAGAGATTGCTTTATTTATTGTGTTTAACTGCAACAGTGATTATTCCTCTAATCTCCTATTTAGGTCATAAAGGGAACCTTAAAAGCCTTGACATAATACCACTAATAAAGTAAATTGGGTGTAAGTGCATAACATATCTGTAGTGTTAACTTAAAGGATGCTTTAAAGAGATTTTTTTACTATTTCACAGTCAGGTTTTACTTGTATGATGGCATATTAAGGCCGCTTTGCAGAAGAAACAAAAAAAGGAGGAGCAAATCTCAGAGAAAAAACTCAGACTTTCTGAGATTATTTTCAGAAATTTTCGAGAAAAAAACAGGAAATTCTCTTATTTTGAAAAGTCGCAATTTTGCTAGGAAAAAAAATACTCGGACATTTCCATAATCGAAGTCAGAAATTTGCGACATTTAAACTAAATATTTTCTGACAAGATAAAGTCAAAAATTTAAAAGAAAAAAATTGCAAATTTATGAGAAAAAAAAACTGAAGTTTTGAGGAATAGCTAAAGGGATTGGAGCAATAAATAAGTCAGTAAACTTTATTTAAATGGCCCCTTTCATAGACACGAACATTGCAAAATGCGTAACAGAAAAAGAAAAACATCAAAAGATCCAGATACTTTTATTTTGAAATATCCGGTTACCAAAATAGGACACGTCACCACAAGTTGTGGAAATTTACTGTGAGGCTGCATTTACTGTAGTTTTGAAAATTATTTTTCTCTATAGGCTCCATAATCATTTTGGATATTCCTATTGCTTCAGTCACTCCAATGCTCTCATCTCTTCATGTGGCCATGWAGTTTGTTCATAAAATGCATTAAAAATTGCTAAAATCACCATACACTGAAGCTTCACATATCAAATATATGTTTCACAGATCATACTCTTGGTTTTAAATATTCTACAATCAGTGTAGAATAATTTAGTCTAGGTTTGAAGTCTCTATGTGTTTTAAAATTTAAACTAGAGCAAATGAAAGATGGTAGTGAAAACAGGTGGAATTGYCCTTGAAGTGGGAGTGTCTGAAATGGTAGGAGGTTCTTAAAGATACAGAGGCCAATTTCAAGGAATGCAGATGATGCAAAGTCAAATTTATTTTTATATACACAGCTTTTTTTAGAACAACTGAAGGTAACATAGCTACTTAATTGTGGTATAGAACTGAACTGTGTGCCTGGAAAATAAAAACACACTGCCTTTAATGAAACCTTCAAGAAATAATCATTTGAACAARCGGTTTACTTTTGGAGTTAATCCATTTTGATTGTCACCAAGACACCAACAACATTTATTTTTTCTTTTTAAAGGGGTAATATTATGTGTTTCTCAGGCCTATATTGAAATTCTATACCATAATAAAGTAACTATGTCACATTTAGTTGTTATTAAAATGCTGTTTTTATGTTTAAATCAAAAATAAACTTGACTTCTCATTCATTTCCGTTTCTAAACACCTTGAAATCAGCCCCTGTCTCTTTAAGAACCTCCTGATTCTGTCACGTCCATTTCAGCATGACATCACAGTCACTTCTCTGCTGTTTACAACCTGGAGCACCACAGCTTGCTTTGTTGCAATGATAATTTAAAAAGCAGCAACATTGTACAAGATCGGTTTTGCATCTCTGGATACACATTTGCAAATGCTGCCTTTTTWAAATTTGGTATGCTTGTTTGTCTTTGTGTCTATGATGTATAATGATGTGATTGTGATGCTGTAATTCTGAGTGTTTTATGTGCTGCAGAACAGGTAAAACAGCAATTATGCTGAGTCAGGCTTGATTTTTAATAATCTTTTCTTGTTAAATAAATAAATCAAATCAAATCAAAGCAATATGAACCTTACTGTTGGGCCGGAAAGTATGTTTTCTAAAGAACTGGAGCGATTACAGAGACGACGTATCAGCTGGTAAGATCATCCACACACATACTGTACACACACATACTGATCGCAATAACTTACAAATCTTAACACAAAGACCAAACAATAATGTGAACAAAGCATGAGGGGGGCGTGCAAAAGCTCGGTGTAGTTTCCTTAGCTGCACTGAGAACTGGCATTGGGAGCTCAGCAGTAAATCTTTATCAACTCTCTGTGTGTTCCGACTGCTGCAGAAGCACTAAAGAGAGTTATTGATTAATGCTTCACTACCAGGAAACACACATCAGTCAATATTCATCTGCATCATGAGTACGACCACAGTGCTTTTTCAACCCGTTCGGTGAACATGAGGAAGTTGCTGCTCTTACCTTGGCTGCACTGATTTGCTCCTTCCTGAACCGCTCCAGTGGAATAATCAACACATCGTTGGCATTTTCGATCTACGCAGGAGCAAAACCACACAACTTCAGTATGAATCACTGACAGATTTAGTGTAATCATTTGAATTTCAGTCGCCTGCTCGATCATTTGTTTAGCAAACAGAAACTATTACAAAGATTAAAGGTTGTCTGCAAAGTGTAGACAATGGGGTTATTATTGGATGCAAAACAGTACAACAAATGAGACACATACAATTGCAAGGTCAGAGACAAAAACTCTAAAATGCTGACTTGCATGAGCCAAAGCCTTTGTTAATAAAAAAGCATAAAAAATAATTTCTAGGCATCACGATAAGTTTTATATATAACAAAAAATAAATATATCACATGATCTTTTAAAAATARCCTGCAACATCATACAACTGTTTTTGGTCACTCACCATCCTGGTCCTCTCATCCTCCAGGTTTTGTAGGACGGTTGCAAACTCCTGAAGCGACTTGGCTAAGAGCAGTCATTCACAAACAGTAGACGAGACAGAGAGACATGAAGAAGACTTGTTATTTTGAGACAAGTTTAAACACCGCCAGGATAAAGTCAGGGAATGAAGGCGCTCCGTACCTGTTCCCTGGAATGCTCTGAGACATTTCTTTACATTTACAGCACAGTGAAGTAATCGAAGCAAAAGTGAAATTCACAGTTTGTTTTTAACGGTACTTCCACGATGAGCACAGATCTGAGCTTGTTCCCCTGCTCGCTGGCCAGTGAGGCCCAGCTACATCATTTGGATCAGAGTTTCCACTTCAGTTGCCTCTTTCTGTCTTACGCTTTACCRGCCCACGCATTTAAACACACACACTCTGTGCACGTGTGCAAATGCTTGTAAAACTGATTAGGTTTCATGCTAATTTAAAACAGTCACCTCCTGAAACTCTTTTCAACTAAACATAAAAATGTGTGTTTTTTAAAGTTGCAGAGGTTTAACATAACTGCAAAAATACAACAGAACCAGTGAATCAAACCTAACACAAAATGAGGATAAGGCTCTCACAACCTTTCGGCACATCATCAGATCACTCATGTAGAATAATAACTAAAACTTGAGTTGCTCTTCAAAGTGATTTGTTGCAGAATGTATTGGTGCTAGGGTTGGGTGGTATTGGTCATTTTCATACCGCGATATAACCGTTAAAAAATATTGCAATATACAGTATTGGGGTGGGCCTTGTGGCATGCATATAGCCAGAGACATAGAAAAAAAAACTCAAGTGCTTGGACGTTGCWGTCACACAAAGCAGCAGCAGCAGGAGTAACAGAATGAGTTTGCCTCTTATTATGTCGAACWGATCAAAAATAAGTCCAACTATATCTTTTTAGGGTTTGTTTCAAAATAATCTGACAATTACCGTGGTCGTATCCACCCTGCTGCATGCTTTTAGTGAGGAATCTCTTTGTGATGATAAAGTCTGTAGTCATTTCCTCGTCTGCGGTGAGGAGCTCGCAGGTCTCAAACATATAAATAAATCACTGATAGTCTGAATCTGAAAATCCAGCTATTTGTTTGACCAGTCCGCAGCTGGTTGGTCGCTGAATCTGTCAGTCAGCGCTACACCCACCCATCTTTTCACAATGTTTATGTCCCAGTTTTCATAGCAGCTTTGTGGAAATTTGGCGCTTCACCTCACATGACTCATTGCATCATCATTTTTACATTCCGTCACCATATTTTGATACCACAGTATAACAAAATACCATTATACTGCCCAAGCCCAGCCTGGTTTAAACCAGACCCTCGTCCTTCACTTTGCTTCGTACGAGGGTCTGGACTTGCTGAGTAGAGAAGTGATTCTTGCAGGAGGCGTGGCCTCTGCTGAAGTTTAAAATGATTGGATCAATTGGCTGCGACGTATGTCGCTGTGACGGAGGCTAAGCTAAGAAGCTAACCGGAAATCACGTGTGCTGTAAACTACCCTACAGAGAGGAGAAATATACCGAGCTGAACGAGACGACTGTAAATGAGAGCTGCTGCTTTGTCAGACAACTTTATTTTAATTTGAAGCCTTATCAACATGACTGGCTTCATTCACTTCCTCCACTGCCGTATGCTAAACTAACTAGCAGACACTGCGCAGAAAATCGGCATCGTTCAAAATAACTCCTTCTGTTTGCTGATTGGTCCAGGTAAAATAAACTACAAGCAGACACTGCGCAGAAAATTGATGTTCTGTTTTCTGATTGGCCCGGCTAAAAATCTGCCAGYGAAATCCTTGTTTATGGGAGAAGTCCCAGACGGAGCAGAGAAGGGAAACTAGAATTGAGCGGAACTGCGTAGGAAGGCAAGGGCCAGGCTAGCCCAAGCCTAGCTGGAGCTAAACCTTTGKGGCAGAGCGAATGCCAGTTTTGACAAGTACATGGATACTTCACAGACAGCAGTGCAGCCCAGTTGAGCAGCAAGCTGTTCAGGAAAGATAGCGGGGGATAATCAAACAAGAGCAATGGGTGGGTCAGAGCGGTGAAGAGCTGCACAGACAGAGCCAGGCAGMAGGAGAGGGGTGTGGTGACTGCACTCCAACTGACACCGGGTCATGTTTTGGACAGCTAAGGTTCAGATAACGACAAGGAATTTAGAAGGTTTTACTTTACAACRAAATCACATTAATGTTACAGATATATGTCAGAGTTAGGTCTGAATTGGCTTCACAAACCTGGTTTGAAATCAGTGAGATGTTGGGAACCAGAGAACAGCAAAAAAAAAAAAACCTAAATTACACCAGAAATACACTGGTTTGGTTATGGTTAGCCTGCCGYAGGACAGCTGTGGCTACAGTTACAGTCACCATTTACCAACTGTACCTACAACAACTTTATTACATAACTAATGCTTTAATTGCAGTAAAAAAAATGTGTCTTCTCAGTTTTAAATGGCCTAAACTGCATGAAGACTGAAGACAAGTCAAATCAGTACAGATTCATTATTTCAGGCTCACTGAACTCAAGCCTGCTTTAATCAAGTGCTGAAATGTCTGTTTTATCTCAGCAAGAATCAATATCACTGTATTGTCAGAAGTCTATTTTTAGATATGTCTATTCCGGTACACCGATGGATAAGATTTCATATTAGTTGCACTYACCTATACATATCTCATCATCTGTCTCAGCATCTCCAATACACTGAAATTTGAAGTCGTTGAGAGAGTCYGCAAACTTCCTCTTTGCTGTTGACACACCTAAGAGAAAGGAAAGACAAGACAAACAGTGTCTGATTAAGTGGATGGTGTTAGGTCGGTAAAATAACTTTGCAACAGAATGTTTATTTTCTTTTTACAATAATATTTCCTAATCTTGCCAAGTCTGGTGCACTTTGTGAAAGCAGATATTTCAAATACCAGCATCATAATAAAGAGTTTTTTACTTTGTTTATACTTTGTATACTAGGAGTTGACCTGATACAAGTTTTTAATCAGAACAAAAACAAGGATTTAAGTTTGGGAACTTGCCGATACTGAATAAGGTACAGAGTAGTTAATGAGTTAGTACTTAAACATTACACAATGAATTTAGAAACAGCGAACACAGGAAACAGTCTGCTGTCTTAACATCTCCTGTTTATCTTAAAATATATCCAAAGAGTGGATATCCCAGTTACTTGCAAAGTGAAAGAGGAAATTATGTCACCAAGACTCAAAGTCGTTAAGGGTACAAGTATCCTGGTTTCTTCAAGAGTACAGGTGTTTGAGGCTGGTATGAACCAGATACCAACACTTGGGTTGTAAGAAAATATTGATGCACTGAAATATTGTTATTTCATTTCCTGYAGTGGTGGGCAGCACTAATCTAAAAATGAGTTCCACTAACCCTAAAACACTAACTCAATTATTTAGGTCCCCTAATTCTAAATCACTGGCACACTGAAAAATTTAGCAAAAGCTAATTCTAAAGCACTAAAATAACCCAGTCTACCCAAGATCATTCTTCAAGAGACAACATGAGTCACATGATGCTCTCTTAAGACTTATCATTGACATTATTTAGGTTCATATATTGTCAATATATTGTCACCTAGTGCAGTGATTCCCAACYAGKGGTACRTGTACCYCTAGTGRTACRYGGCATATTGCAGGGGTACGTGGAAAAATGTCCCAGGTGTATAAAAAATTGATAAAAATAGGACTGAGATATGTAGGACGCTATGATTTTTGCAATGCGAAAAATGCAGACAGAATCGTGGAATTGACACAAAATGGCAAAATGGAATCCAGTATAAAATGCGGAATCACATGGAATTTGCTAATTTGGGTGAGTTTCTGAGGTATTTTGGACACTGCTGCTTCTTGTACCTGCCGTTACCTGGTTATTCACTTTCAAGTCAACATTTTTATCTTTATGTTTAATTTGAGTTTAAAAGAATAAAATGAAATGCCTGAGAATTAAATGTTCAAATTAYGGGGATTAAATTTTAAAAAATCATTTAATAATCAGCTGTGGCACATTATAGTTTTGGAGAATCATCATTACGTTTGACAAAGGGGGTACTAGGGGTATGACAAAATGGTTCAGGGGGTACACAAGTCTATAAAGGTTGGGAACCACTGACCTAGTGGATAAGTGACAYATATGAACAAAATGTGTGRCAGCTCAGCTGTTAACTTTAATGCTGATCAATRACATTTATAGACCTCAGTTAGTGCTTCTAAATTTAGCCTATAAATTTAGCAAGTGCTAATCCACTAATACATTTTAAAATTAKCARAAGCCCTAAAGCACTAATCAGGAAATTASTCCTCTATTAGTGCTTTAGTGCTTTAGRGGAACTGTGCCCACCACTGATTTCCTGATATCGATTCTCAAAAGCACTTTTTCAAAATGTTTAAACAAGGCTTAATGGATGGATAGTGTAAGAAGATGTGAAATAGGGWTGGGCGATAGTGGCAAAAAAWTAATCACGATTTAAACACAATTAATTGTGGTATTTAGCTGATAACAATTAATATGACCATTAATCTCCTGGAGTCCCTGGACACCTGCATGTCCTAGTCATGTGACCAATTTAAATCCCTCTAGAAAAGACTTGTTCTCTGTAAAAATCTGTTCTGAATTAAGTCGAAGGTATAGATTTCAGTCTATACATCAATTTTTAAATAGTGTTGTTAGGCCAAGTAAAAACCGGAATCATGATAAATAATTTMCAGAACTTTTTTTAATGTTTGTCATATTTGAATAACGTTGCAGCCTGAGGCAGGGAAAGACAATTCATGGAAAAAAAGAACACTTCAGTCCACCCTGTAGTCTCACCCCCAAATGTAGTTCTTGCTGTTGTTCAGTGTTGTTTGGATTGCATAGAAATAAACTAAATTTAATCAGATTTTATGCATTTAACACATGTTGTGTTCCTTATAAAGCAGGGGTTCTTAACCTTTTTGACCTCAGGCCCCAATTTATTGAACATAAAGTGGCACGATCAAAATGATGATTATCCTAAGTCTTGGTTTAATTTTTATTGTATTTACATCATAACTAAACTATCACAACTAACATAACTGAATTAAATTCACTTACAGTTTAAAAGTAAAACTCCTGTCAAATAATCACAAGACATGATTATGACAAACATTTTTATATTGTAACCTGCCCATAATTATTTGAACAAATACAAAGGTCAGTCAACAGACCACTCAGGCTTATCAACACAAAAATATATATTTTTAATATAAACAATAACAAAAATAGACAATTCAAAAAATAAAATTGTGGGCATAAAATAAATTAAAAATGTTTAATTTTTCAAATAAAAAAACAAAAATAAATTTGATAAAGTACAAATGAAAACATAGCCTTTTTTAAGTTTTTGCAACCAGAAGCTGCTCTTCATATTAGTGACAAACAATAACAGTAACAAAAGCTTTTTGACAAGTTATTTCTTTAAAATACATTCATTTTTTTTTATCAATTTGATAAAGTGCAAATTAAAATATAGTTGTATCTGCAACTGTGTGATAATGTTTTGAACTTTTAAAATATTGCATGGTAAAAAGCAGAAGCTGCACTTCGTATTAGCGACAAACTGGTGTTTTTTGATGAGTTACTTTCAATTTTGCTTCTACTTTTAATTTAAAATAGGTTTCCATTCTGGGCAGGTATCTAAGGTTCTTCTACATATTTAAAAAAGTTGTTAAACATCTGAGTGGCGCACTACTGCTACTAGTGGTGAGAAAGTGTATTGCACCTTATTCAAAATCAATGCGGTCCCACGGCCCTCTGCGGCCCAAAGTTAAAAACTGTTGTTCTTCTGAGGCCCTCAAGGTGGCGCACGTGGCCCAATTGGCCCATGGGTTAAGCATCTCTTGCTGTAAATTAGAATCTTCGGAGAAAAAAATGGCAATTTACCACCTTGCCATAACAATATATCATTTTGGATCCATGTGTTGTGGTATGTATTATATCATCAAATTCTTGCTCTAATCAATACCAGTATCAGTATTGAGATAACAGTATTGTGTAACTTTCCTGGAAATGTTTATTATAAGAGAATCTGTATTGATAGTATGCTTCTTATGGAGTAACTTGAAATAARCATAAAGAGGATAAACATGGTGAGTGAATCCACTGTGGTGTTAGTGATGGAGGCTGAGATCTACATTGTGTGTGTTTGTGCTGAAATGTGCAAAAAGTTCTAATAAATTTAAGTCCCATTAGCCCAGTGAGACAGTGAAAACCCTTGGACAGTTGAATGCCTTTCGAATAAAATATGAGGCGTGAAGAGATCCACTGGAGACAGTTTGGCTTCTCGGCAGAGTCAGCTTCACTACAGCATTTCCTGTTGCTGGGCTGGCTGAGGTCAGCCACACATGCAGGCTAAAGCAAAATAGGGGTAGGCTAACAAGGAAGCCTAAACACACTACTTAGGAACCACAGGTTGTGGACTACTCAMTGGAACCAAGATCTCCCATGCCGTCTTTTTTTTTTTTACAAAATAACTCTAAAAGTAAAAGTAAAAAATAAAAATAATGATAATTTTATAGAACTGCTTTGRGGATAAAATCTGTTCTTTTACTTGTGTGGTCAAAGAAGAAAGAGAGAAACTGTAAGGGGTACCATTACAGTGTGGTTAAACTCAGCAGGGAAGTCCCACTTTTCCAGAAGGAACGTGACAGAATCKACACAAAAGATTAAAAAAAAGACAAGTACAGTTTGGAGTCCTGRAGCATTTTCTTTGCACAGAAATTAAAACGATTGATGGATGTAGTAAAARCAGGCTAAGGAGTAAAGGCACATAAAAAGTTTTTTTTTTTTTTTTTCACAGAGACAGATGGGAGTCAGGGAAAGGACAGTCAGTGCACAGAAAAGACAGAGAGTAATTAGCCGGGTTCATGCGTACAGCAGCTCCTCCGTGCAGGATCTGTGCAGCTTGCCAGTCTGAGAAATAAAACCCAGGCCTCGCAGCTCCTGTTTGTTGCCAGAGAAGGCAGACACACTGCTGCTACGCACAAACACTCATCACGTTTTCTCTGTGCAACTGTCTTAGAAAAGCCTTGTCGGATGTCAGTGAGCAATGAGTCAGAGTGGTTCTGTATCATCAACATATCTAAGACATTAACAAAAGGAGACCTCAAGCCTCAAAAATAAGTTAAAACAACACTCTAACAAAGCATGGAGTCACTGTCAGTATGGGTGGCCCACAAGAAATCAAAGGCGGCTTTGGCTTCAATGAAAYTGCATTTTTGATCAACAAAACTATCTATCTTTCTACACTGTCTCTCAACTTCTTCCTTTTTCTATTTATCCTCCAATTTCTCCTTCCGGCCACTGACAGTTCTCCTCAGCGTCTTGCAAGTTAAACATTTGTGCCATTATTTCCCTTTTACTAGCTGCCATTATAAACATCAAAACTAACCACAAGCTGAAGAGCACGAAAATAGATTGGTTTAAATAGAGCTGAAGTTCACATCACTAATTTGGTATTACAAAAATGGAACAAAGTTTGCGTTATGAWGCCAAATTTTAAATAATTTAATGAAGACATTTGCAAATTTGCATAACCGTTTTGTGGTATTTGTGGATTTTTTTAAGTAAAATCAAGAACGTAAAGCATTTACCGGTAGGTATATTACTCAGGCAGTAGTACTGAAAAGATCAAGCTTTTTTTAATAAAAAAGAGTGTAACTTGTGAATTTACTAATAAGGAAAGATTTCAGACTTTTCTGAGAGATTGAGTAGACAATGTAACATG